TACTGTACACACACACACATATATATATATACATATATATACACATATATATATATATATTTATACATAAAATTTATACATATTTATTTACATTACACAGGAAATCATATAACAAATATATATTTTATTATCCATTTATTTTTTTATTTTATAAACATGATCAGCAGCCAGCGCAGGCTATTCGAAGTTACTGGTTTCACGAAGTAGGTGAACACACGTGAAGTGGTGAACTGCGCTTCAGAGCACGTGTTTGTACCTAGAAATAGCTAGTCGTCTATAGCATCTGACCTACTTCTGTCTTTGCAATAATGTAACAAAAATGGAAATAAAACAAACAAGAAATCACAAACCTTGTGTCATCTTCGCCTTAAGAGTACCATGGCAATAAGTATGTGGAAACGTTTCTTTCCACAATTATACCCCAGTTATACAACTAAAGAAATAGGCCTAGCAAGTTGGGTGATTTTCTGGGGCTTATGAATATAACAGAAGCATGAAAAGGCTTTTAAAATGTACCGCATGCAATTATCAATGTATTGATAATTTTATATGGAATTTAAATATGGAAATACATATTTCCTTTACAATATTATAATAACATGATCAGAACATTTATGGTAAATGGAAACGTAACAGACAAGAAAAATCAAACGTATGCGAAACTAATCTATTGAATATACATATTCCATAGATTTTTATTTGATTCAAGCATTAATATAAAAAAATTATATCAATATATATAGCAAGAAACAAAAAAACGTATCTCAAACTCGGTCAACTTCGTAACATCTGCGTTGCTTCTGTAAAAAAAAGAAAAATAGCACCAAGTTATACAGTAATATAGTAACAATAACAAACTTTAATACTACTAAAAATAATTGTTAATAAACTAATGTTTCAGTAATTTAAATGACAAATTGGCTGGTTTTTTCTGATACAATGTAAATAAATAAAAATAATAATATATAATAATTATAATAATATATAACATCATATCATATTTTAGTATCTATTTTATTTGCTGTATTTGTTATGTAGAAAGCGTAGGATTCATAACAAAACGAAAATAAAAACCGTCCGATATATTAATTGATAGTTTAGTAATAATAGTATTAATTTTATTTGCTTTTAAGTAGCCTGTTGTTACTTATTAGAAAAATACAACAAAACACAAATAAAAACTTGCAATGATAATGAGGCCAAGTTATATTAAATTTAGCGTTTCGCAACTCCATTGGCGCTCCATATATTTGTTGAAAACAAACCGCGACCGAAACAAAGCGCGACCGAAATGATCTGTGACCTCCTTTTCCCCTAAACAGTTGTATTTGCACATAATAATTCCTTTCCTCCCAAAAACACAGAAAGTTAAGTCAGACTCATCTTTATGTAATTGTATTCATCTGTTACCGCTGTTGATTAGCGACAAACGCTCGCCTTCTGGAAGCCACGGCAGCGCGAACAGAGCGGTGGAGACAAGCGACAGCGTAGCCCTTTGCTAATGAATATTCATATATTCCATATAAGATTATAGCGCCACCAATCGACTTGGCTGAGACGTCGAGGAAGAATAATCGCATCCCGGAGGTGAAAAAAGATTGTCAACCGTGAGGGACAACCTTCCAATTTTTAGGTGATTGACATAGTTGGTAGAGCAAACCACAAAAAATAACCTATTACTTCCGGACCAGAGCATCCAGCAACCGCCAAGCCAACAAAGAGATAATTAAAAAGTTATTACTATTGAACTTTCCATGTTATTTTTAAGAATAAAAAAAAAACAGTTTAAAGCACAGTTCAAATGTATGGTTATGGCCAAAGATTTCTAAGCACTTCGGAGAGTCAGAAGACCAGTAAATCATCAAGAAGGCTAAACCATTATTATTGTAATTTACATGGATAGCTCAATGATTAATAAAATAAATTATTGCCTTGCCAAGTTTCATTCTATTCAGTATGTATTGCAATATAGACTTAACTTAGCATTGCAGAACAACAACAGTTCTATTTAAAACTTCTAATATAAAACTATTAGGCCTTACTTTATATTAGTAACTTGCTCTAACAGTAATCCTCCTAAAAATGTTGTCTTTAAATGACTCACTACTCCAATAGTAAACCCAGAGCGGCTAATATTGGAATGTCGAAACTGCATACACAATGACCTGGTCTGAACATCAACCACAGGATGGAACAATGCTTTGAAGTCCTACTGAAGGAATTCAGCACTTGGATTAGGAGGCAAGCATCTTTTTCTTAAGTATTCTAAAATATAATGGTCGTCTTCAGTATTCATGGATTCAACAAGACTACTGTCAACTACTTACAGTGACATCCAAGAGGACCTTATGGAAACACAATGTGTTTCGTACTGCTGCTGCTGCTACTACCGCCGCCGAGAATGGGCTTTAGTTTAAGGTAAATAGCCTATATATTATCTTAAATTTACTTATTTTTAGACATGCATATTACTGTACAAAACATATAACTGTAATAGTTTCACATTAAAATTGCTTTTAGCAGTGAAAAGCATCATTGACTATATGGCCATTATGAAAATGAATCTTTGTTTGAAATTACGATCACGAAAAGACGCTATACTTGTGATATTAATAAGGAAGCATACTAAAAATATACTCTTTTTATTTAAAAAAAAAATTAGGAAAATAAGTGCAGTCTATTTAATAGCACATTAAGTTTCCTATTACTACCGAGAATCTTTAGCTTAAGGTAAACAATATCTAAAGAAAATCGCAATTTGCTGATTTGTTTAGACATATATCATTATAAAACATATACTGTATGACTAAAGAAGGTGGGAGAAAATTACTTTTAGCTTTAAAATTAGCATTACTGACTTTATCTCATATGAAACTAAATCTTTGTTTAAAAGTACAATCACAAACGATGTCATACTTGTGCTATTACAATAAGAAAGCATACTTTTTACCATAACGTTTTGGGAAAACATTTGCAATGCATACTATATTTAATAATAGATATAAAATATTTATTTAATTAAAAATAAATGTATAATTTTGGCGCCCTCTTTTGAGTTATGGTAATTAGTTGTCGGTCTTCGCATATTAAGGTATTAGTTCCATTGATCTGATATCGAAGGCTACAATACGCCAGAATAATTGATTAATTTTGGAAGTTATTACACAGAATAAGTCCGATTTAGCTTATGAAGACTTGTCTCTTATAGTGCCGATTCGATTTGCATGAGAAGTAACGCAGCTGCCGACTGATGCAACATGGAAGGAATACCGTTTATTTCTTTTTGGAAGGTTGCGTATAAATAAATAAATGAAATCGCTTGACTTTTTTTAGATCAAGCAGATTGGCAGATTGTATAGCTGAATATATTTATAGAAACAGTTGTTTATCAGTTAACTCAAACGAGGCATTATGTTACGAATTAAGGTATTGTACTCATTTACATTACGTATTTCGTAGGCTTTTATTAGATAAAATATTTATAGCTTTTAAATTTGTAATTATATTTCTACAGGAAGCCATGGTGTTGTTAAATATTGTTTCCTTCTTCGTTTGTGTTTGGTTAAACCTGTCAATTTCAACAATGGTATTTGTACCATTTCAATCACCAAGACCTCAGCTTCAACGGTAAGTTATCGGATTTTTGCCTATCAAACACGACAGAAAAGTTGTTTCATCAGACAAGTCTGATAAAGTATCTAACCTCTGTGCTTTACATTTGAATACATGTTTTTGAATTGAACAATTGATTTTTTTTTAAATAGGCCTACTAATGAATTTTGAATATTATTTTGTTCTGTCTTAAACATTACAGCAATGTAATGTTTAATTTGCGCATGTAATTTTGAATTTAAAAACAAATCGTTGCCAATGGAAATTTTACAGCACATAATTTTTCAGTTTGTTTTTATTATTGTGCCAGAATAAAACGTGGAAACATTGACAGTTACAGAAGTATGTAGGTCTAGGCATATATTTACCCTTTATGATACAACCTCTAGAAAGTTTATTCAATGAATGTAGTTTTACCAGCATTCATCGACAGTGATTTTAAAAAATATTATTAATATAATTAAATAGCATTATACCGATGATGATTCATTTGTACATGAATCTATTACAACATACCCGTATGTTTTTGTTATGTTAGCCGTTGATAAACAGCATGTTCATTTTGGGCTATAATCTAATTTTCAAATTGTGCCGATGATTTCATGTTTAATTCAACTTTGTTAACTAGCCATTATTGATATTCAAATACGTTTGATATATAACAGTAATATTTCGGTGCCTGGAGAATATCATGGAGTGATGTTTTGCTCAACCTGACGTGTTATCGTACCGAATTCTCAGTACAATCTCAATACTTGCTAAAAAAATTAGTAAAGTAATTTAAGTGGGATAACCACTAGACCACCCAGCTTACGTTTAGTGACTAGTGTTGAACTTCGCTCCCTTAGACGCAGCAGGTACTTCAAATGCTATTTTCATATGTTTTGCGTCAGGAAAATGAATATTGTTTTGTCAGGAAAATATAGGAGTAATGCTTTGCGTCAGAAAAATATAGGAGAGACGTTTTTACCCTGCCTGATGTGTTATCGTATAAATAATTGTTCTTGAATGTGGTAATCTAATGTCCGGACACTAGTAAAAATAATAGTAATGGTAGTAATTGTAAAAGTAAAAGTAACGTAATAATGCCGGTGTTGGTATTGGAAATGATTTTTTCTTTTTAATTAATTTTTTTCTCGTATTAATTTCGTTGCAAATGTGTGAAGATCCGTTGACGTGTTTCTTCTAAACGCAAGCTCAAGGTATGTCTCGACTAGTTTGGATTAGTTGAGTTTTTTCTAATTTGGCATAAAAGACTCCCAATATAACCACTTTTGAAATTATATATAAAATAATATAGTTTATCAGAGGCTTTATTGTGATTTATGACTCTCTATAAAGATAGTTGAATTCTAATTTGAGTTTAAATTTATTTCTTGACTCTAGGGTACAGAAAGTATTTAAGAAGTGCAGTCCTAAGCAAACGGTAGTGTTCTTGAAAACCCACAAAACCGGAAGCACAACTCTCGCAAGGATTATCGAACTATATGGTTACAGAAATTCTCTCGCCTTTGTAAGGAAAATAGGAGAAAGGCAATCTATACATTACGGAAACCGGAGATTTAACAATCTATCTCATCACGCGTTTCTTCCGCCACCGAATGTAACCAGAGGAGACTACACAAATTACAAATACAACATATTTACTTTACATGTTCGTTATGATCGTAAAGTTATAGATGGATTTATGAAAGCAGATCCTATTCACATAACACTGCTGAGAGAACCATCAAAGCAATTTGAATCGGCTTTTGTATTCTTTGGAACTGGACAATTTGTAAATATACCACGCCAAAGAAGTAGGCCTAACCATACTTACAGGTACTATGAAAAAATAAAACAGTTCCTTCTGAATCCTAAACAATACCCTAAGGCGGCATCTATCCATTATATTAATAATGACCAGATATTTGATCTTGGCTTAAATGCAGAATATCTTTTGAATGATAAGGTTATAAATGAGACAATTGCTAGAATAAATAAAGATATGGATCTAGTACTTATAAACGAATACTACGACGAATCTCTAGTACTACTAAGCAAAGTACTTTGTTGGAGACTTGAAGATTTAGTGTATCTTCCAAGGAATGAAAGGCCTGACTCCAAAAAAGTAGCAATGCCAGAAGAGTTGCGTCAAAAAGCTCGCGAATGGAATCACGCTGATACAATGCTATATAATTTCTTTGTGGAACGATTGAAAGAACGCATCATTGAATATGGTCCGTCGTTCAAAGAGGACCTTCGGCGATTCCGTAATATGACGGCAGAAGTACGCCGTAATTGCGTAGGCGGACAAGTTGTCAAAGGTCCTCGTAAGTCGTACACACCTACTGCAAATAATAGTGTAGAATGCCAATTTCATACTGAGGCCCCAAGTAAAATGAATAAGCGTATTAGGCAACAAATGGGAGCCGGGACACATAGTGCTAATCATGGAATCTGGATGCCGAAGACTAAAAAAAAAATATCAAAACAATTTAAGCCGCAAACTAAGAAACAAATACCAAAACATGTTCAGCCGCAGACTAAGAAACAAATACCAAAACATGTTCAGCCGCAGATTAAGAAACAAATACCAAAACATGTTAAGCCGCAAACTAAGAAACAAATACCAAAACACGTTTATAAATTTACTTATAAAAGTAATAATATTTCTATAATACCGCGTGTGAAGCAGAAGGTAGTGATACAACGAAGTAGTCGGTGAGATGTCTGCGTGACGCCCACTTGTGAAAGCAACCCCTCCCGTACTTAATTGATGAATCCCCCTCTTGAAAAAGCACTTTTATTAAGGTCGGTAGACCTATATGTATAATAATTTGGCGCGTATTTGTATTTTGAACTACATTTATCTTTATCGAGAGCAGCTTAGCTCAGTCGGCTAATCTGGTGGTAGCCACTGTGTGCAGAGGCGGATTTAGGGGGCCCCGGCCCCCACCTCCTTTTGGGAGGGAAAAAGAAAAGAAAAAAAGAAAGAAAAAAAAATGATAGCCCAGAACGCTTCAAATGATATTTTCGGGTGTATAGAACACACAAATTTCGCGGGGGCATGTCCCTGGACTGTGTTGTCTCGATCGGCCCAACTTTCGCCACCACCCCCGCCCCCACCCTTTTTGGACATCTCTGGATCTGCCCCTGGTGTGTGCGCTGAACTGTGGAGATCTCTAGGTCCCCGGTTCAATTTCCATCGCTGTCTCTCCTTGAATTTCAGCTGGAGGGCTGGAATACTAGTTCTAATAGCGCACCGTCTTTCGGATGAGACGTTTAAGCCGTTGGTCCCGTATGCATTGATGACCCATGTGCACGTTAAAGAACGCAGTACACTCTTCGGAAAAGAGTAGGGGATTGGCTCCCGGTGTACTGCCCAGTCACCGCCAGAAGAACCCTGCTGGAAATAAGTCTTCTTCTAGACTTTCGTGGGCTATAGGCGTTTACACCGAATAAATCCAATCCAATCTAATCCATATCTGCAGTAATTGATCTTATCACAGGTACATGTGCAGCTGTATTTCGCAATACTAGATATATAGGTTAAATAAATAACAAGTTATTATAAACAATGAGGAAATATCTTTGGGTGCGTTCTAGTCCGAGAGCCTTATCCTATTTTGTTAAGAGTATTGACAAAAATGTACCAACATCCGTCTTTCTGGTTTATGCTACAGTTTTTTGTAAAGCCTATCGGCTTCTATCTGAATAATGTAGCATTATTTAAAACCCAATAATGTAAAACATACCGGTAATACATTTGCTTTTGATAACTTGTTTACAGATTTATAAAAAAAAAATGTATCATCAAATAAGGGGCAGTAGGGTTAATAAACAATGAAAGTATAAAACAATGAGCAACCTTTTCCACCCACTGGGCCTGTGGCACACCCTGAGAGCCTTATTCCACTGTGTTCAATTGGAATTTACTTTAAGATAGTTACAAAATACATTCAAAAACATCCGTCTTCGAGATTTGTGTTATTAATAGTGTTTTTAGATCCCTGGGCAATACTTTTGTTTGATATGTTTATCGTTCAACAAAAGGCGGTATCAAATATATAAAAATGTCTCTGTGGGGCTCAACCTTTAACTTTTAGCTAACAAGGCCATCGTCATATACACAGAGACCTATATGTTATTTATTTCAATTTGTTATTCTGGATGACACAACCAAAGCAAAGACATTGGTTTTTGCGGTTCTGATACAATTTACATAAATATAGTATAACAGTGCTAAATTGTAACTGAGAAATGTATGGTAAATTTAACAAAAAAGGGACCAATTATTTAAGTGACAGCATTAAGTTATGTTGCTAGGTAGTTGGTTCCAGCGTGGAGGAATAAGTTTAGAATATTCCTCCATGGTTGGAGTTCATAGATGCTCGATAATAA